CCTGTTCACACAAAACTTGCACACAAAGCCATTCGATATGTTTGCAGAAGTGAGAAGGTTCAAAGGCTATTCTTGTGATTCAAATCAGCTAAATAATTCTAATCTAAAACAAAAAGCCATTGTATACTTTCACGTTATCAATGATTTGATCAATAAAATCCCATTCTCTCAAACCAGTCCATCCAGTTCCGGGTTGACAAATGAGCAACCTTGGGAAAACAATTAATCACTTTGGCAATGAGAATAAGAAAAAGAAACTAACTCCTTAGTTTAACTAAGCAAATGAGAATCTGCCAAAGAACTGCTTCGGTGATTAATATGTGTAATTTGGGGAGTTGATGAATCCAAACAGATGCAGCGAGTGGCTTCCCTTAAATAACAAAGCTCGAAGACTCGTCCTGCGGTTGTCGGATGAAAGCTTCAGGACGGACTCAGAGCTGTGTGACCCAGCGTCATGAGGCCGAGTCACCCCAGAACTCTCTCTCAGGCAGACGTAACCTCACATGCTCCTGGTTGCATGAGGCCTGTCTTTGCTAAAGGGTCAGACAGAGTGAAGCAAACAGGTCAACTGGGAAATTCAGAGTGACAGATGGTGAAAAGCAATTGTGTATACAATTGTGTATCGGGTACAACTGAAAAACACAGAGGATTGATGGGAAGACTCTAAAGAAACAATGCCAAGGTGTTTACTTGTGTGTTAGCTTTCCCCATCCATTCTTTACTGCATGGTCAAACTGTGTGATCCAGCTTTGCTGGGCTCATTACTTGGAGGTTTTAAAGAGAATATTCCAATTTAAGAATCTTTCTGTAAAAGGAACAAACAATTTTAAGATGATCTACCTGTGCTGCAGCATCTTGAATACATTTTGAATGAAATGGTAGGTTCTCTATAGTAGATCAGGAGCACTCCGGAACTTATTTTTTTTGTTGTTTTCTTATAAGATTAGAGGGTCATGTTTTTTAAAATTAGTTTTGTTGTATTCAGGTTTTGCTGAGTCTTATTCTTGTCACGCTGACAGTGAAGAGTCGCAAGCGGCAAATTAAGCAACTACGTAATCTTGTAATCTTCAGTCATGTGAACGCACAAACAGGATGTGCTAACAATATCTGCATTGTGCGTCTTACAACTGGTTGGCTTAACTTCATCACCGGGGGTCTGTCTTGGGGGAGTTTCTGTGGTTTCAGTGTTGTCATGGTTGGGCGCTAGCATTTAAAACTAACCAGCTTGATCAGTTTTAGAAAATGCCGAAATGGACAACGTCGTGTTCTAAATCATTCCACAGTATAGAAAATAATTACAGAGCCACCCAAAACTCAGCATCATCCAGAGCTTGCGTTGCTTTTTCTTGACTTGGAGGTGTCTGAGATTGACCAAATAGAGTAGAAACATGCATTGTGGTGAAAGATCGGTATTCTAGATCCTGGTTGGGATAAATGGACATTGTTTCTTCATTTATAAAGACAAAAAGGACTCTTCAATCTGTTTTCAACTACAAGTGCATAAGTCGGCTTCTATGACTGTCCAGTTTAGCTTTCAAGTAATTTACACTTGTGTTATGGCAGCATTAATGCAGAAAGTGCATTAAAAGGACATTCTATGGCAACGAAAAATGGAGACAGATGCTTACGTTGAGGGTGGCATTTTGAATTTCATAGAAATGTATAGGGGGAAAATGCCAAATCACATTGTGCTCATGTTTCAGAAGCATTGAGCAGATGGAATGGGTACTAACATGCCTCCAAATGAGATTTGCAGGAAGTTAAAAAGGAGATAAGACCCAGAAACATTTGACATTTAGTCTCCTCGATGCAAGACTGACTGTTAGATGTTGTGAGAGGAAATGGAGTATTTACACAGCCAAAAGTTTTAGCAGCCAAAATTTGTTTAAAAAAAAATGCAAGTATTGAATTATATTAAAAAAATAAATGAAGAGACATGAGACAAACCATACATCCTATCTTCGTATGGTCTGTAGGAAAATCTATGGAATATAGTAAATATGATTTTTTTTAAATGAATTCAGGACACTCTAGCTCCCCCACATCCCCATAAGGAATAAGCAGTGTAGAAAAATATGGATGGTTGGATAAATATCCTTACATTTTCTCAACCTCTTCTGTTTTGGGATTGGTCCAATGTATTCTCATTTATCTGCGCTGAAGATGAGATCAACTTGCAGTTCTTTTTAAAAGTCCTTCGTATACATTTTTCTAGGTTTAGGAGGCATTCCCCATTAGTCTCTGTTGGTGGTAGTCAATCCATACTGCCGACCCCCCCCGGGGATGGCAAACGTGTGACTTCCTGCCTCCAACTGGCTAATATTAGTTTTAGACAAACTGTAGAGTTTGATGCCAGTCATAGTTACCCTATGACTCTCAGAGATAGACAAAGTTGCCGTGCCTACCTTTATAAAACGACCCCCAAAAATATCACCTATTCTATGAATAGATATCCCATCAATGAGAAACATAAAACAAAAAATATTGATACAATCTCATAATGCTACAGCAATCAGCTTACATTTCACAAAATAATAATAATGCTAATAAAAGCAAAGGCAGTGGTGCATAAACTCGGTATGAAATCGTCAATAAAACTATTGAATATAAATAATGAGAAGTAAAGTCATGCCTTCACAGACATCTATTCGGTTGGAACCCTTTTTTATATTTGGCTCTCTCACTGTAGATGCCAGTGTAGGAGGCGGTGAGGAGTTAAAACAAATGTGACCATCCTTATGTCACATTTATGACTTTGAACATTCCAATACTATACTTTACTATTTCTGTCAGCATTAAATCAACTGGACTTTTTCTGCCTAACTGTGTGAGGTTAATGGATCAGACCCCTTGTCCTGTCACAGACAAGAAAACGTCTGTCGATCTGCAAGGCCTCCCAATGGTGCGTTTGGGGATTTCTGGACTTCATCCAAAAATATTGAATGTCATTTGGTTATGTGTACAATAAGGGGTCTTATGTTAAACCACTTCACTTATTGTTTTGTTCTATTTTGACCTCTGAAGTTAGCAACTAGGGCTGGAAACAGAGTTTATGTGTGCAGAATGAGGAGTTGTTATGATGTACACCCATGCAAAAAAAAGGTTGTGAAACAAAGTCTATATTACTGGAAGAGTATCTCAACAATAAATGTTGACATTAATGGAGGTGAGACAGACCAGCGTCGCATCTTACCATGCCTCAGATCCCAACAAAGACATCACTACTCTATTGTTTTATTACTCTATTTGTTTTATAGGTTACTTTTAACTCATGAGGATAACCTTTCTCTCCAAAGCAGCACAAACACGAACGAGACAAATGCATGTCTGTGCAGTGTAGATGGGAAAAATTGCAATGTCTCTCTTGCGCCCTGGTCACCTAAATCGGATTAAAGTTAAGGTCAAAACTGGGTCTTGAGAGATCTGCTTTGTGTACCCTTTTGTATAACCTTACATGACCCTCTCTATACAACCCTTACTGACTTTTCTCCAATGATTCCCCTTGATTTAATGGCATATCAATAGCTTTTATGTACATGGAGGTGCACCTGTGCTCTAGCAGTTCTGTTTGTGACCCCGAGGTGTTTTCCCACTATACCATCCCCTTATCTCACATTCACTGTTCTCTCTGCTCAGCCTCTTTTCATTGCGTTTGGTGGGCCAATATATCTTTCCCCTCTTTACTGTGTAGATATAATACTATTGAAACTATGAGGCCAGACATGCATACCACAAATACATCTTTTAACATATAAATGCATTTGTCTCTAAGCTTCTTTTTTTTCTTCGGTTATCTTTCTTGTTTGTGTCTCTGTGGTCTTGTGATGGGCTGGTCACCTGTCCATGGTGTGCCCTGACTCTCCTGTAATGGCAGCTAGGATAAGCTCCACATCCCGAGCGACCCTGAAGGGAATTAGCCGTGATCGACGCAGAAGAACAAGTGCTTCCTAAAACCTGTCTGGCAAAGAAGCTACGCGACTCCAACTCAGGGACTGAAAGCGTGACGCTGTTGAGTGTAGTAAAAGTTAATGTGTCTACCTTTGGCTGGATCACTTAGGAAAGAAATGCAAAGTCTGTGGTTCAGTTGTATGGAACTGCAAACAAGAATATTATAAAGTGCAATACATCCAGACATGCAGAATACAGTCCATACAGAATTCTTATTGTTCATTCTTTAATATTTAACTGAGCGTATGAACTAAGCATACATTTATATGCTTAGTTCATAGTATGCATAATCAAGTTAGATGTGTTTTCCTGGATATAAACATGGCATACTTGTTAATTCCAGCTACTTTAATATTTACATGGAGACATCAGACAGCATAGAGATCAGAATCTAATGTTATTTTGATCAGAAGATAACTTTAATAGTAAATTATTGGGAAGATGTCAGGGGGAAATGCATCCGTACAAGTTCCTGTACAGTACACTGTACTGAAGAAGCCTCAAACGGCTGCCTTCTGCTTTAAACCAATGGACGTCGCTGCTTCTTGGTAGTACGGAGGCCCTCTTCCGTCAGCATGCCCCCCAAAAAAGGGGGGCACGGCAAGTTTACTTTTTACGCCACGCCGAAAAAACTTCACGCCCTGGGCTCCGGGCGCGGGCGCGTGCTCTCGGTCTTGGCTGCGTGCACACGTGCGTTAAGCCGCCCGCCCGCCGAACTTCCTGGTCCTGAGGAGGATAGAGGCGTGACGTCGCCGGCGTCCGCAGACGGGGCCCTTACGGCGAAGAGAGAGAGAAGGGGGGGCGCGCGAGGCAGGGACGCGGCGCGCGCGAGGACACACACGCGCTCCTTCCTCTGCCGCAGAGCAAGACACAGCCCGAGGAGCAGCCCCGTAGGCTGAGGGCCCCCCCCGACCGCCGCGGCAAACTTTCACGGAGGGGGCGGCGGACGGCCGGCCCGTAATGCGGCACACTGCCCGCCGACTCTGGCGCTGATGTGAGCGGACACGCTCGGAGCAGAGGTGGGGGGAGGAAGCGGTGGTAGGACGGACGGACGCCTCCACCACCACCACCACCAACCTCACTCCGTTTTCACCGTCGCGGCGTGTCGGTCGGTCGGTTCGGTCGGTCTGTCTGGGTGGGAAATGTCCTCGCTAACCGTCGAGGGGGAGCAGAAATGGGTACCGACGCACGTACTGGTGACCGTTCTCAAAGGCAGGGGGCTGCGGGGCAAGGGCAAGCACGGCACGAGCGACGTGTACACCATCATCCAGCTGGGGAAGGAGAAGTACTCGACCGGCGTGGTGGACAAGACCACCGAGCCCGAGTGGAGGGAGGAGTGCTCGTTCGAGCTGCAGCCCGGCGTGCTGGAGGGCGGCGGGCGGAGCGGGTACCCGGCCGGGAGCAGGGAGCTCATCCTGACCGTGATGCACCGGGCGCTCATCGGGCAAGACGCCTTCCTCGGACAGGCTGTGATCCAGCTGGATAAAGTGTTCCACGAGAGCAGATGCCTAAAAAACGAGTGAGTTCAAACTGCTAACGTGTCATAGGGCTGCTTGTCTGTGTGTTTTCTGCTACATAGAATTGGTTTCCGTTGCCTTCTTCTGTTCCTTTTTTTCCCCTGTCGATGGAGCCCCATCGGGGTGTTTCTCCCCCATTCCCCTGCCCACCGTTGAACTTCTTACACAATTTTGTTTTGGAGAGCTCCACACAGCTGTCAGATCTCTGGTGCTGCATCAGGAGGGCCCTGCAGACACACCCTCCCTCCTCCTGTGGATACACAAAACTAACTCTGAGCACATCCAGTCCCCCCCCCCCCCCACCATCACCACAACTTCTAGAAACCTCAGTTGCTGTCCACTGTGTAGAGCAGATGCCTGTTGTGGGCTCTCTCCAAAGTGTTGTTCCCCAATGGCCAAGCCATGTGGACAGCAGGAGGGGAGGGGAGGGGAGGGGAGGGGGGGGGGAGATTAATGCTTGTCCCAAATCCAGGGGATTAGCTAACAGTTTCATGATCCCAAAGCTACAAGATATTTTTAGCATAACATGCTGTTTTACAACTGCCCACTGAAGGGTCGTTTGTTGATGGACAAGTCTATTAAGAGGACAGAATCTTCTTATTTGCGATTTACTTGGGGCAGATTAGTTTCAGAACGCAATCAAAATATGCTGTGGTTCAGCTGTTTTGTTCTTTTGAGCCCTTCTGGTTGGACCAACACTCCCCCACGAGGCTTTTAACCCGTCTATAGAAGGGCAGCCCAGAACCTGCCGCTGCTGCAAAATAAAAGCTGGTTGAAACTTACTATTCGAAATGCAAGTTAGCGAGAGAGCTGTAGCTTTGATGGCATCTTTGCATCCTGCATCATCTGAAGTTTTACAAACTGTGAAGAAACGGGCCTACTCTATGACTAATGTCCCTGCGTAGTTGATGATGTAGCACAGTTAAGGCTGAAAACACAGCTGTTTTTTTTCACCTTGAGTTTAGTAAAGCAACAGTTTCTGTTTGCATCGAACCTGCTCAGAGTCTTGCCTGTTTATTGCCTTGTTATTTGGAAGATTTTGCAAGGGGGGGCACTCAGAATGGAAACCTCGGCGGCATTTATAGGACGTACATGAAAGAATTCTAAAAAGTCACTAGAAGTTGTCAGCTTTTGAAAGACAAAAACAAAACAACCTTGAGATCAAAACAGAATAATCAACTGTGGTGATAAACTATGCACCGACATAAGACATTTATGGAGCCCCCAGGTAACACAGCTATTTTTTTCCCTTTGCGTTCCTATGCAATAGGCTTTGTATGGAGCTGAACGTAGTGCGAGGGCACGCAAAAGAAAAAAAAATTGCCATGTTACCTGGGGGGCCTCCGTAGAAAATTGACTATAAAAGTTATCCTCCCCTCTACTGGCTGCTCCCGAAAAGGTATCGTACGACTCACCCAACCGATTCTCACATACGTAGAATAATCGTATCGTACTATTCCGATATGGTTTTGGTTTGAGTTACAAAGACGAGAAGAGGGCAACCTTCGTGGTACTAGCACTCCCACAACTGACTCAATATATCCTACCCCTCTTACTGTACGATATGTGGTATAAAAGTGCCCCCTTATTGTCTTTTTCGGAAGATCTCTGACAGGAGAAGCTACAGCTTGACCCGGCTGTGCTTTCACTCAGATCTGGCTGTGCATTTGAGATGAAAGCAGAACCAGTCTCCTCCTATTGGTCCCGTTGGAGGTGGTCACTTGAAGGTTAGCCGTAGCCCCGTGATGGCCTAGTCAGCAGTTTGGTGACTTGATGCATTCAGTCTCTGCATGTGGTATTCAGTGAGCCTTTGCTGGTCAATAGCAACGTGTGGCAGCCTTTTAGAGTAGAGATATTCGGTCGGACAGGAAGGTTAATTTTAATAGCCGAGTCTGGATTGTTGAGGCAGGCGGTAAATTATATGATGTCGGAGGATAAGTTAGATTTTAAGAAACTTCCACATCGGTAAATGTGTTTAGCCATCTTGCCCAAAAGAATTGGACAAAATTGCTTCATTTTTATAACTATTTTCAGAGCTCTATCTAGTTAAGTGGTGAGGATTTTCTAAAAGGCAGAAAACAATTCAATTTGACCCATTTTATCGTTTAAAACAAAAGACTTTTCGTAAAGTTCCCCTCATCTTTACCCTCATCTAGCTTGTACGTTTGTCTGTACAGTGACGATGATGCATTTTTGGCCACATCCCAGTCAGGGAACTTTTGGAGTCTGAGCCAAAACTGTCCACTAATAAAACCTCATAGTGAAATCATTTGATAATGATCAAAGACAAAACCTTTAGGTCAAGTAGACCAGAGCCACAACATTTCGCAAACTGGGGATCTTTTCCACAAGTATCTCCTAAGATATGTTAACATTAGCATTACACTGAAGTTGCAGGAGAAAAGAACAGACTTCAATTTTTAAGATCATAGGTTTTTATTCTTTCTTCTGGACTTTTCTCCCCCATATGGCTTTGTTTGTACATACAAATTGACATAAATTGCACGATTTAACCTTTTTGAGGTTAAACCTTTTCTTAACATATGAAAGAGCTTTATTTTGTAAACAGTTAAACATGTTTGATATTTTAGATACATTTCTGTTAATAGTGATGATATGGACTTTATCCACTTCATCAAAGGCTTTCTGTTTAAAAGATTAAAAACTGCAGCACCTCTTTAGCATCATATCATATTTTGTATTATAATTTGATTTGGAAGTAATACGTCCTAGACTGACTTTCATGCAAAAATGTCCACTGCCTTTTTGGGTAAATCTTGCCAAATGAAGCAAGCCATACCAACCACCCAAACCCATAAGATAGCGGTAATTAATCAAAGTCAGAACAACTGCTGCCTTCTTGTTTGAGGCCACGAGTCATTGGTGTAGAGCAGATTACAGGAAAGGTGGGTGTCAGGTGAATTCCCCGGCAGGGTCTGTCAGGAGGAAGCCACAAATTCTCTGCCACATCAGCCTACGTAAGCAGCAGCCTGTGCTGCTTACACAAAATGGACTTGTTTCTTTTTTTGCTGAATATCAGGTGCCCCACGCACAATTTCACTTCATAATCAAGTTTTGTTTTCTCCCGATGGGGCAATTTCACTTTTCAGCAGTTTTGACATTTTCCATTGCAAGTTGGGTGTTCTGTGCTGCGTCAGTTGGTGGATTTCACCACGCAATGCGAGGTCTTTTACTGCTTTTTCTTTCTCTCCGTTACATACACCCGATCCATGTAACTCCAGCGAACGAACTCGTAATGTAGCTCAAGGCTTTAAAAAAGTGAACCTCCCACTGCTGAGTGAGTGCTCGGTGTGTAATGTACATCCAGAAAAATCCTCTGCTAAGAACCAAAAGCCAGCTGCAGCCCGGACAGAATAATGTAATGGACGTTATACGTTATATTACAGCATGACCTAAAAAGTCAACCAGGATAATGTAAATGCAGCGCCGATCTTTCAGAAGCTTTTCAGGGGAGATTTGTCTGATACAATTTCCTGACACAGAAAGAGGGATGTGCAATGGCTGCTGTAATGTTCCACTCATTGTCACAGGGTTGTGTTCCTGACTCACGTAGAGGAGTTAGGCTTAGGGTTTATTATAGAGATGCGGACAGTATAGAGCAATTTTCATTACCTTTCATCTATTGCGTAAAAAAAGCACTTTGGAAGAAAAGTAACAGAGACAATCTATGAAATAGCAGGGAGTTAATGTTGTGTCATGAGGGCGTTTCATGGGCCAAATTTACTAACTTACATCATGGCAGTGTTAGTTAACGGAATCTAGCACCACCAGAAATGACAAGCAGACATCAGATGTATTGCGCTTTCATGTAATTCACACCTGAAAAGCCACGAGCGATACGCACTTTATAAAGAGTTCTGTGCAAAGGAAGGCCTCTGAGACGGTATCGACCGTGATAGTTTGACCAAAATTGTATGAGATCAAAGCTATCCCCCCTCTCAAAGATTTTTTTTTTTTT